AGCATTGAGTTCTTCATAGTGGTTACGGACCCGAGCCCAGCGTCCGAGCACGGAGCAGTGACGACCGCGCCATCTGTGGGTCAGCTCCTGAAATCCCCTCCAAATGGACGACGCCATCTAGTGAGGACAGGATATACCGACCACAGGGGCTGGTTTCCCGTCCTGATCAGCTCATAACATAGCCGCTGCTGACCTCTGGTGAGGTGACGCTTAGACAGCAACGCCATCTATGGAGTGGATAGGTGGACGTTTGTGTCTAAGCCTGTAAGTGAGGGGTCCTAGAGTGTCCCTAGTACTAATGACGTGTCTGATTACAGAGTCGACCTGGGACTGCTGTAATGGACGTTGGATCAGTCTACCCAAGGCAGCCGAAGTATTTCCACGTATTTGCTGCAGAAGCTGTGAGTCGCCCCCAGGATGAACACTGTTGTGTTAGCCTGCCTGTGACGTGGCAGTTGAGGAATTGTCGTACCCGGGGCTGACTGGTGGAGAAGACTAGCCACTGGGGTGTTGTGGTGAGGAGAGTGATCTGTGGAATCACATGAGGCTCCTGCCTAGGGCTCGCAACCCTAGTATCGGTCGTGGAGTGGCCTACGCAGCGTTGCTGATTGGAACCTGCCAGTTACAGGCTGGATTTGTGGTTGACGGCCTCCACGACGGTGCACCCAGTCGGACTGTGATTTGGCTGGCCTGTGGCTGGGGCAGACTCGCCGAGAGAATCTACGGATTCGTCGTGAGGCCACGAGAAGGGAACCAGGGCCCTTCATCTTGAGCACCGTGGAACATTCCTGCGACTTCAGAGGAAGACCATTCTGTATATTATAGTGTTTATACCCCCCGTGTGACAGTTAATATATTTATTATTGGTGGTGGTGATAATTATATATTTAATTTTGTGTAATCGTATCCCTTCCCCTTTAATTTACTTGTGTTACGGAACACACCCCTTGAAAGCCACTACTAACTTGGGGCCGGATACCCTACCTCTAACAACATCAGAGAAAGAACCCAGTTGCGACTCAATAGGGCCATAACAATTAACTCTATTAATTTCAACGTTCTCATCACAGTTAGGCAGGTCTGTGATAGTCGTGGCATTGATATGATATCTTTCTAGTATTGAAATGCCTCTGGTGCCACCTTGTGCAATTGAGCAGTGGAATCCTTGATTTCCTGAGATATTGATATTTCTTTCAGTCCTGGTGAGTGTTTCTTGAAGTAAAATAATATCAATGTTGTCCTTGTTTGTGCTTTCTTTTTGAATCCTTGGATATTTCAATGAATAATCTTGAGATTGTCCATTATTCTGTTAGAGTTGAATCCATTGAGTCCATTGTGGTTTCTAAAGTGCTGATTTTGCCGACGGCTTGTGTCTTCTTGGTTGAAGTGGAGACTGCAATTGGGTGCTGAACCAATACAGTTTCGTCACCTTCTTCGACTTCTACTTCATCAACCTTTTCAGGCAGGGCTTGTAGAAGTGTGGAAGAAATAAGTTCAGTAGATTGTTTTTGAACTCTGTTAATATTTCCTGGAAAAAAAGTCGTGGAAAAGAAGTTCCTGTAAAACAATTTAATAGGAAGTACAGGTGTTGTGTTGGGTGTTTCTTCAAAGGTTGCATGGCGTGTCACCTTCCTTTTAATGTCGTCTTCAATATTATTGACTAGGATCTGTCTTACCCTACAGACGTCCTCGTCGACCTGCTTCCAACTTGAGCTGTGAGTTAGAGCTCGGTCGACGTAAGCGTTGACAACTCTCCACTTGTACCTGTCTGGGCAGTCACTGTTAGCATTAAGACACATTCCTATATTCGCTTCCTTAGTGCAGACTGCAGAATGGAAGCCACCATTTCTTTCCGCGACTGTTACATTTAGAAAAGGCAGCTTCCCATCGCTCTCCATCTCATAAGTGAAACTTAACACGAAATTTTACTGGAATGCCTCCTTCAACTAGTGCAAATGTCCGACATCGGGTACCTGCATAAAAATGTTGTCAACATACATGCAGTATATGGCGGGCTTCAAGTCCATGTCAATTAAGACCCTCTGCTCGATGGTACCCATGTAGAAGTTCGCAAACAGGACACCTAGGGGGGAACCCATGGCGACCCCATCTACTTGTTTATACATGTGCCCATCTGGGCTCAAAAAGGGTGCCTCTTTATTGCAGGCTTGGAGTAACTTCCTCAGTATACTGAGGAATACTCAGTGTAAGTATATATACAATATACTCCCTAATATACTGAGGAAGTTACTCGAAGCCTGCACTAAAGAAGCACCCTACTTGATTCCTTCCAAGTGTGAAGTAGTCTCCAACCCAGACATCATAGCCAGCATAAGGACTGCCTTGCCCAGAGCCCATGTCATTAGGGCTGTGAACAGCACTCTCCTTGGAGCCCCCCTCGGGTCTAATGCCATTGAGGAGACCCCTTGATAAGAAAATCACAAACCTCTAGAGGCTCTGGACAACAGCTATTAGTATTAAGGACATATTCCTATGTTCGCTTCCTTAGTGTAAACTGCAGTATGAAAGACTCCATTCGTTTCCGCGATTGTTACATCTAGAAAGGGAAGCTTCCCATCACTCTCCAACTCATAAGTGATACTTAAAACCGAATTTTGGTGGAATGCCTCCTTCATCTGCTGCAAACGTCCGACATCAGGTACCTGCATAAATATGTCGTCAATATACCTGCAGTATATGGCAGATTTTAAGTCCAGGTTAACTAAGACCCTCTGCTCTATGGTACCCATGTAAAAATTCACGAACAGGACACCTAGGGTACACAGTTCATGCCCAGATTTAAGAGAGTGATTTGGTCCTCAGTGAGGTTGATTTCAGCAATGTTTAAAAAACCATCTCTAGGTCGTGGAACCGCCATAGACCCTCCAAATAATGCTGTCAGTTTCTTGATGATCCTGGTTTTGGTGCTGTGGCAATGTCGATCTGCAAGATCGTTGAGGTTTTGGTCGATTCGGGTACGGAGGTCTTCGTCGATGTAAGGAGTGCCTTGCAAAATGCATCCCTAAACGTCAAACCGTAATAAATTGTGAAAATAAACTCTGGAGAGTTAATGTTTCAATTATATAGGCCTAAGTATTTATATGTAAATTATGAACCTACGTTTTCAATAACAAAAGTTTTTGAAGTTTATGCTGCTGAATTTTAACTAGAAAAAATCATTACCTAACAGCATTTGCAGCATATTTTTCTTTTATGTCTCACCCAGATTTATTTTCAAACCAAAAAAACAAAATAAACTACAAATGGGTAAGCATAACTAAGGTACACCTATAGCTATACTTATTGCTAGGTGAACAGGCGCATTATGTGATTGTAAATGCTTCCACCAGCCCGGGATCATCACCTACTCTCATAGAAAATAATAATAATAATAAAAACTCAAGTACACTAGTGTTTATTTACTTAATAACTACTGGAATAATATCTTAATATTATAATTATAAAACTAATTATAACATCATGAAAGACAAAATCATTACAAGTTACAAGCAGAAACTGCATATATAGCTAACATGAAGGACTCACCAGCAAAAATATAATGTTTATTATCGAATTTCGATCCTCCGGTTTGAGTAGTAGAGGCTGTTTGAGTTATATCTAATTTATGTAAAGCTACGACTGGTCTGGAGTTGTCATAGCGCGAGGCGGTGTTCTTAAGAAGATCGTCGTTCTTAAATGTCTTCCTGAATCCCGACATGAAGATGGTAAGAAGGAAAACGTTCCTAAGTACTTGCATAACTGCTTCGTGAATCTGGGCCCCGGCTGCTTGCAATCTGACGTACGAGTCACAGCCTGGTTGATCAGGTATCCAACGAATGTGCTTGTCAATTTCTCTTTTGAACACTGCGAGAGGTTGGCCAGTTATGCAAGCATGTATTAGGGAAGTTTTGAAAAGTCTTGGATCTTTGATGATCAAGTTCTCTCTCGGTGTGCCTATTGCACCTCTGCTTTTCAGTTGGGCTATTTGGCACATCCTGCCATGCCTTCTGGTCTCATGTGGAGTTATTTCTGTGGTGGTGGTGTTATTATTGGGAAGTGGTGGCAAGTATTTATCACATGCATGCACAACCCACAGTAGAAAAACTTGAGATAGCTGACTAAGGGGCTCTGGTAGTACAAAATATTTAATTAAATTCATGATAATGCATAAATATTTATGATATAAATTGTTTAATTCTTAATTTTTTTTTACATTCAATTACATAATAACTTTAGGAATTTTAATAGTTTGCTCAGCTGGTAGAGCATGGTACCAGAGGTACTTGTAGCTAAGCCTAAGCCTAGCAGAGGTAACATCTAAACGCCTTCTGACCTTACAGGATGACTCATAAGCGTGTGGCACTTCTTGCATTGTATTATGATGACAGATGGAATAGGTAATCTGAATTTTACTTTGCCTCATCTCTTTTAAAAGTTGTTGGAGCTCTTATATTACTGTGCTCAGGCTGATCAAAGGCATTCCATGATTGCAATCAACTCACTCTTTAGGAACATATGCTTAGACTAACTCATTGGTTCTCATGCCAGTATGGGTTGGGATCCTTAAGGAACAGACTCAAATTCCATCAATGATGATTATATTATATCTGTGTTGACCAAACCAAACGCTAGAAAGTGAAGGGACGACGACGTTTCGGTCCGTCCTGGACCATTCTCAAGTTGATTGTGAATGGTCACAATCGACTTGAGAATGGTCCAGGACGGACCGAAACCCCGTTGTCCCTTCACTTTCTAGTATATGGATTGGTCAACATCTTTCAGCCACGTTATTGTGACTCCTCGTCTGCATTATATCTGTGCCTTGCATCAGACACACCTATGTCTTGAGGAGTTGAATATGTTCAGGGATGGCCAAGTCACTCAAAAATAACGTGTGAGCTTTGGATACATATACTCATTTGCCTGCGAGGTGTATGGTTTACAATTCTGTACTTAGAGTGGAGGCCCAGTTATTTATACGAGCTCCCTACTTGGAACAGGACTCGTCTCTCGTTGCCAGAACAACTGCACTTCCGGGAGCACCAGAGGAGTGGTGCAGGGAACCATCACTGTAAATCGTTTGAGAGGTTGTGAGTGTTTGATGACTTCAGGAGGGAGCCATATTATGGGTTTCTTCACTCGACTCGACAGGTGAGCATGATATGAGAGCATATTACAGTATATATTAATTATGAGTGGAATTTAATTATAGAAAATACATGCGTTATAAATGCACGACAATTATTAAATTTTAAAGTCTTATATTTACAGGAATTGAAACTAATCTGAAGTAACAGAAAGAAATTGCATCATATCTACTGCAGGAGTACATCAGATAATTAACAATGCATCCATAAAATATTTTATGCAAAGATACATTAAAAATAACAATATATTGAAAATTATTTAAATATAAACCTTCCTGTGAGTGATTAAAACCAGAGGAGGTGCCAACCCGAAAGTCCTGACCTTCCTGTTAGTGAACTGTAACAGAATAAACAGTAATTAGCTTATAAAATGTAATACAAATATTAACAACACAAACGTATACAATATTTGCTTAAAGTTTTGTGTTTTGTGAACGTTGAGAGAAATGGTCTTCATGTACACCCCGTCGAAATTATTGTTTACCGATATAGACTCCTTTGCAAATCATATAGAAACTGTAATCAGTTAAAGCCCATTTGAAAATTGCTGGCTCAACATTGATCCTGTTTCGATTGATCACAAAATATACAAATAGAACTTGCATAGTCGATTGCCTCTGCTGCTGAGGAACTCGACAAAAGTGGTGAGGGAAGTAACAATTAAAATACAGTAAGTCTGCCTCGACTGAGAAGTTCAGTGCGCCTGACTCGACTGTAAAGCCCAGTATGTCTGCTTCGACTGTGAAGTCCGAATTATTTACATCAACTCCACATTCAGTTATCCTACAGGAAGATCTGGACATATGGCGGTATAGACTGGCTGTGAATAAGGCAGGACGAGACGCGCTAGCAAATGTGTTTATGTGGTCGTACCAAGGCACCTTCCCAGTAGTGACTTACCTCACTCAGGACTTGGGGTACACCAATGCTCAGTACAAGCGTGTCTTTGATGCTCACCAGAGGGATAAACTCAAAGCTTCATCTGATGTTGCTACCTTTGACATTAGCCTGTTATACAAACTTCTGCAACGCGTCTGTGGTCTGGCTGAGATAAAAGACCCCACGTGGACCACTGAAGGGCCTCAAAAACCATCGCTTGAGTACCTTATTTATAAGCTGAAGCAGCACCAAATTGCGGTTACCTATGATCGAATGACCATGAGACAGCAAAGCCTCAGCACAACACTGAAGAAGCTCAGGGACTTATTAGATAATATGTTGACTGAGGCTGGTGCTCGGTGTGGGACAAGCATCCAGGATGTCCACAAGGCAAATATTGCAACTGCCAAGTATATTGATGGTCTGCTAGAAAAGGTCAGAGAGTCACTTGATCCCTCGGATATGGTGTACTTGCCTCAGCTCCACCGCGAGATCAAGTTGTACAACAGCCAAATCACAGAAATGGTTAAGAAGAAGAGCAAGAAGGAGCTAACTGCTAAATACCCTATATGGCGCTCGTATATACACCCACTTGAATTAAAGACTTTTCCCACACTCGGGATCCTCAATATTACCTACGACCCAAGTCGTGCTTTCACAAGACTGCAAGTCCTTGAAGATCCCATCACAGGTGTAAGACCTTCCCATGTGACCAAAGGTCAGGATAGCGTAAGATCCTCCCACACGGCCAAAGGTCATGGTATAAACTATGAAGATATCTTAAGTGTGAGACAAGATAACGGAAATGTCCCTCAGTGTGTCCTCCTGACGGGGGAAGGTGGTACGGGCAAGACAACTTTACTCAAGCTCATCTTCGAGAAGTGGGTAAAGGACCCTGCTGCCATACGTCACCTATGCAATGTGGACCTTGTTTTCTATGTACAGTGCAGGGACAGACATCTTAATACCTTCGATGGTCTCCTGCGCCAGTGGCTGCCTCAAACACTTCGTGATTCTGGTGCCGACTTCCAGCTGTTTAGGGAGATAATCTTGAGCTTAAATATATTAGTCCTGATTGACGGCTACGACGAGGTCAACGACCATTCAGGAAGGCTGGTGGAGGAGCTGTTGCACCTGCCTGGCAAGGATGTGAGGTTGGTGATAACCACACGGCCGGGGTGGGACCAACAACTGTCACAGCTCGTCCCACACACCAGACCTCATTGCAACATCCTCGTCTTGGGCATCACTCCAGAACGTCGCGTGGAGTTCGCCGAGAGAACCATCAAGGTGCTGGTGAAGGAAGAGAGCAAACGGAGTGTCATCACAGAGAGGTTTACCCAGCGGCTGGAGCAGATGAGTCAGTTCCTGGGTGAGTACCTCAACACTCCACTCACCTTGACCTTGTTGGCGCTGCTGTGCGTCGAGGCTCCAGAAGAATTTAACAATCTCACCACAATCACTCAAGTCTACGAGAAGTTTCATGACTTCATAACCAGCAAACTGGTGTCCATACTCACAGACCAACATATGATTGACCCAAAAGGAAACTGCGAAATTTTTTTGTCGTTTTTTGATGAAATTAGTTTAAGAGGGATCAAGAGGCAGGAGTACGACCTTTGGCCGGAGACGGAAGAGGAGATTATGAAGAAGTGTGAGACTCTGAAACTACCGCGGTGGATGGTCTTGTCCACTTATTTCACAAAAACATGGTCCCATGGGAGCCTCTGGCCTAAGCAGGTGTTTAGCTATTTTCACGCCAGGTACCAGGAGTATTGTGCCGGCAGGGGGCTGGTCGCTCAGTTGGTGAGGGCTGAAGGAAAGCTCGGTGATCCAACATCACATAAGGAGTCACGTAAAAGTGCAACGAACACCAACCTTGTGCGGGATGTTCTTCTGGAGGACAGAAACACAACGATTGGTGAGATATTTAATGAAACTAGATTCCAGTGCATCTTACTTAATGCTACCAGTGTGTTGAGCAACAGTCATCTTGAACACAAATTTGCGTCGCAGGTAATTGACATTGTAAACTTCGGGGAAACTGTGGAAGAGCTATTAAAGCATGTAGCAGAGTCCCGTGGTAGTGAACACGTCATCCAAGCTGTGTGCAAGAAACTGAAAGAACTAGCACACTGGAAGATAAAGAGTGTTGGATCGTATGCTGTCCTGCCGATTGTTCTTAGGAGGGTGATGCCTGATAGTATCTATCTGGGTATAGAGAGCAGACCACAGTCAAGCCAACTGCAGTGCGTATTGGGATTTTTGAAGAAACAACAGATATATGTAAACATGTGTTTCTATGGTCATTACTTTTGCAGAAATGGCGATCTTTCAGACACTTATTTAGAAACGGTGACAGCACCCGGCAGTAAGTGTATCCTAGAGATATTTGAAGGTTGCTTGTCTGAGGCAGCCATTCCCCTCCTGCCTCTCACCCTCCGGTGTCTCACCCTGCGCCTCACACAACAACAACTGCTCGTCCTCATAGATCACCTGCCACACCTTCGCCACATCAATAACTTAAGTAAATATTACTGTTCTCTATCATAATACTGTAGTTCTATTTTTTCATTTTTGTTTTATATCACTGCTGACAACATATGCGTGGCTATCGTAATTACATTTATATACAATTCTTACAGTCTATATAGTGATCATTAAAGTGACTAAACTTTCTGAAGGTTCCAATGAATTAAGAGAAAATTAATCTATACCTGTATGAAAGAATGTCTGTTTTTTCTGCCAGTCTGTCTGTTCATGTGGTCGATTGTCTGTCCAAAGTTGGAGGCCAGACTCGGTAGGGGTCTAGTCCCACCCAAATTGACACCGATAATGTTCTGAGGTTCGGGATGAACATAGGTTTGTCTGTGTCGCCAGAATTGAAAAGGAATAGTGCGCCAGGTTCACATGAAGACACCCACGACGATTTTTGGCACAGCCTCCTGGCTGCACAGCTAAATATTTTGAAAGCAAATTTTTCAACAGCAATTTATCTTATAATAATACACACTGATTAGTAAATTACTTATAATAATTTACTTACTCGGAAAATTAACAGAAATCTCCTGTTCTTCATAATTTGCCCGTTCTCACATAAAACAGATAATCTTCACGTAACGTTGTAGGTTTCTCAAGCCACACTTCTTTCTGAGAGTAAAGTGGTAACTAGTCTTTGTTAGTATTACACACCATAAACACATTAAACAATATATTTTTTAAAGAAAGATAAATAGACAAATAGAGACAGACACAGAAGGAACCTGACGGCTGAGTAGATATCGCTTGGGATTCGTAGTCTTAGGGTCCTAGGGAGTTTCTTTAACCCTGATGTTTCTGTGCATCTAGCATTAAATAGGTACCTGGGAGTTAGACAGATGCTATGGGCTGCTTCCTGTGTGTGTGTGTGTGTGTGTAATTACGTAAGTAATTACCTAAGTGTAGTTACAGGATGAGAGCTACGCTCGTGGTGTCCCGTCTTCCCAACGCTCTCTGTCATATAACGCTTTGAAACTACTGACGGTCTTGTCCACCACCACCTTCTCACCCAACTTGTTCCAACCGTCTACAACTTTGTTTGCGAAAGTGAATTTTCTTATATTGGCTTCAGGATCTGTGTTTAGCTAGTTTAAATCTATGACCTCTTGTTCTTGAAGTTCCAGGTCTCAGGAAATCTTACCTACCGATTTTATCAATTCCTGTTACTATTTTGTACGTAGTGATCATGTCACCTCTTTTTCTTGTCTTCTAGTTTTGGCATATTTAATGCCTCTAACCTCTTCTCATAGTTCTTGCCCTTCAGTTCTGGGAGCCACTTAGTAGCATGTCTTTGCACCTTTTCCAGTTTGTTGATGTGCTTCTTAAGATATGGGCACCACACAACCGCTGCATATTCTAGCTTTGGCCTAACAAAAGTCGTGAACAATTTCTTAGTATATCGCCATCCCTGTATTTAAAAGCAATTCTGAAGTTAGAAAGTGTGACATAGGCTCCTCGTGTGTGTGTGTGTGTGTGTGTGTGTGTGTGTGTGTGTGTGTGTGTGTGTGTGTGTGTGTGTGTGTGTGTGTGTGTGTGTATGTGTGTACTCACCTAATTGTGCTTGCGGGGGTTGAGCTTTGGCTCTTTGGTCCCGCCTCTCAACCGTCAATCAACTGGTGTACAGATTCCTGAGCCTACTGGGCTCAGAAATGTGTGTGTGTGTACTTACCTAGTTGTGTCTGCAGGATCGAGCATTGACTCTTGGATCCCGCCTTTCGAGCATCGGTTGTTTACAGCAATGACTCCTGTCCCATTTCCCTATCATACCTGGTTTTAAAATTATGAATAGTATTTGCTTCCACAACCTGTTCCTGAAGTACATTCCATTTTCCCACTACTCTCACGCTAAAAGAAAACTTCCTAACATCTCTGTGACTCATCTGAGTTTCAAGTTTCCATCCATGTCCCCTCGTTCTGTTACTATTCCGTGTGAACATTTCGTCTATGTCCACTCTGTCAATCCTCCTGAGTATTTAATACGTTCCTATCATGTCCCCCTTCTCCCTTCTTCTTTCTAGTGTCGTAAGGCACAGTTCTCTCAGGCACTCCTCATACCCCATCGCTCGTAGCTCTGGGACGAGTCTCGTTGCAAACCTCTGAACCTTTTCCAGTTTCATTATATGCTTCTTCAGATGGGGACTCCATGATGAGGTGGCATACTCCAAGACTGGCCTCACGTAGGCAGTGTAAAGCGCCCTAAATGCCTCCTTACTTAGGTTTCTGAATGATATTCTAACTTTTGCCTGTGTAGAGTACGCTGCTGTCGTTATCCTATTTATATGTGCCTCAGGAGATAGATTAGGTGTTACGTCCACACCCAGGTCTCTTTCGCGCGTCGTCACAGGTAGGCTGTTCCCCTTCATTGTGTACTGTCCCTTTGGTCTCCTATCTCCTAGTCCCATTTCCATAACTTTACATTTGCTTGTGTTGAATTCCAGTAGCCCTTTCTCTGACCATCTCTGCAACCTGTTCAGGTCCTCTTGGAGGATCCTGCAATCCTCATTTGCCACAACTCTTCTCATCAACTTTGCGTCATCCGCAAACATCGACATGTAGGACTCTACGCCTGTAAACATGTCGTTAACATATACAAGAAATAGAATTGGTCCCAGCACCGATCCTTGTGGTACTTCACTTGTTACTGTTCGCCAGTCCGACTTCTCGCCCCTTACCGTAACTCTTTGGCTCCTTCCTGTTAGGTAGTTCCTTATCCATGCTAGGACCTTTCCCCCCACCCCCGCCTGCCTTTCGAGCTTGAACAGCAGTCTCATGTGCGGTACTGTATCAAAGGCTTTTTGGCAGTCCAGAAATATGCAGTCTGCCCAACCATCTCTGTCCTGTCTTATCCTCGTTATTTTATCATAGAATTCCAGAAGGTTTGTTAGGCACGATTTCCCTGTCCAGAACCCATGTTGATGTTTGTTCACAAGCCTAATGTTCTCCAGGTGTGCAACCAGTCGTAGCCTAATTATTCTTTCCAGTATTTTACAGGGGATGCTTGTCAGTGATACAGGTCTATAGTTAAGTGCCTCCTCCCTATCACCTTTCTTGAAGATCGGCACGACATTTGCCTTCTTCCAGCAACTGGGCAATTCACCCGACATAAGTGACTCATTAAAGATCATTGCCAGAGGCATGCTGAGGGCCTGCGCTGCTTCTTTTAATATCCACGGTGATACTTTGTCTGGTCCAACTGCTTTAGTTGCATCTAGAGTTGCCAACTGTTTCATTACCTCCTCTGCTGTCACCTCTATATCTGATAATCTTTCATCTAGGGTAACCCCTTCCAACAATGGGAGCTGCTCAGGCTTGGTAGTGAACATTCCATGGAAACTGGCATTCGGTGCCTCGTAGATTTCCTTGTCACTTTCAGTATATGCCCCCTCTGTCTTCCTTAGTCTTGTCACTTGGTCGTTCACCGACATTTTTCTTCTTATATGACTGTGTCGTAACTTAGGTTGTTTTTTCGCTTTGATTGAAATATCGTTCTCATAGTCCCTTTCCGATGTTCGTCTTATGTTAATGTAATCGTTCCTAGCTCTGTTGTATCTGATCCTGTTGTCCTCTGTCCTTTGTCTTCTGTACTTCCTCCATTCCCGCCTGCTGGCCATTTTTGCTTCCTGACACTGTCTATTAAACCATGGGTTATTATACTCCTTATTTTTTCCCTTTACTGTTGGTATAAATCTCTCTTCGGCCTGCTGGCATTTCTGTATGACTAGGTCCATCATATCTTGGACTGTTTTTCCTCTAATTTCTTCCTCCCACTGCACTTCACCCAGATAGTCCCTTATCCTCTTATAGTCCCCTTTCCTGTAGTCAACTCTCCTTTTCCAGATCTCTTGTTCCATGGTCATAAGTTTGAATTCCATCATGTAGTCAAAGACTAGGACACAATGGTCACTGGCCCCTAGAGGTATTTCATGCTCTAAATTCTCAATATCTTCTACGTTCTGGATGAAAATCAGGTCTAATAGGCTCGGTGCATCTCCTCCTCTTTCCCTTGTGTCTTCCTTCACATATTGTGTTAGGAAATTCCTGTCTATAACATCTACTAATTTTGCTCCCCACGTTTCGTCCCCTCCATGGGGATTCCTTGATTCCCAATTTATCTCTCCACGATTTAGGTCCCCCATGATCAGCAGCTTCGCTCTCATTCTGTGGGCTAGTGTTGCTGTCTTCTGCAGTTCATCTATACATGCCTTGTTGTTGTCATCATACTCCTGCCTGGGTCTTCTACTGTTTGGTGGGGGATTGTAGATTACCAAGATCACAATCTTCCTCCCATCTACTGTCAGAGTTCCATGTATGAAGCTTGAGCACTCATTGGTAACCCGATTTCCCAGGTCTTCAAACTTCCCTTTCCGCTTTATTAGGAGTGCCACTCCCCCTCCCTGTCTCTGTGTCCTCTCTTTTCGTATCACCTGGTACCCTTCAGGAAAGATTGCATCTGAGATCATGTCATTAATTTTAGTTTCCACAATTGCAACTATGTCAGGATCTGCTTCCCTCATTCTTTCTTTTATCTCTTCTGCTTTATTAGATACCCCATCAGCATTGGTGTACCAAACCTTGTGATTCTTCATGGAAACTCTTGTAACAGAGTTCTCCCTTTCTCTGGGGGTCTGGGGGGGATCTGGGGGGGGGTGTCTGGGGGGTGACTGGGGGCAGGGGGAATCTGGCGGGTGTCTGGGGGATGACTGGGGGTGGGGAGGATCCGGGGGATGTCCTGGGGGGATCTGGGGGGGTCCAGGGGGTGTATGGGGGGTGAAAGAGGTCAGGAGGGGTGCTTGGGGGGCTAATGGGGGCTGGGCTTCTAGGAAGGTAGGTAGGAGGGTCTGGGGTAGGGCCTGGGTAGGTAGGTCTGGAGTAGGAAGGGCATACTGGGTCTGAAGATTAGGGAGGGTCTGATAAGCATAGAGGGTGTATGTGTGTACTCACCTAGTTGAGTAGTTGTGTGTGTACTCACCTAATTGTGCTTGCGGGGGT